GATGCACGTTAAATCTGTCGAGAGCTGAAACGTCCTCCCGTTGGTATGGTGTGGTAGTTAGGAGAGGGGGTGCCAGCTCAGGTGTCGTCCACGTCACTTGACCATGGTTCAAAATTATGTGTTCCGTCGCCAAAAGCCCTCGTGTTGCTGAACAGTGCAACGTTAATATTCAATCAATCAATGAATCATTCTCCATATCCTGCATAAATAATTTAAAAATACAAAATGAAGTTGTATTGAATATGGAAACTAGGTAAAGAACTTTTGCATTACATTTGTTTTAAGAAAATAAACATAAAAGGAACAAATAATACAAAAAAAAAAAAAATGAAAGTCAATTCCTACTTAGGTCAACAAAGAAAAATTTTATTTTAATTACTTTTAATCAAATAATTACAATTAATATAAATATGTACATACATTTGACAGAATCACACTATTAAGGGACAAAATAGAAAGCGATTTTTCTTGCAATTTTCCATTTTCCTATCTATTTAGGTTGTTGGACTATCTTTGTTTTGTTTGTTTGTTATTATTTACTTATTTATTAAATTTATTTTTTAATAAAATTGTATTGTAAAAAAGAAATCACATTCTCAGAAATTAAGCCATCCCAGGTGAGATTCGAACCCACAACCTTTGGATTAGAAGTCCAACGCGTTATCCATTGCACTACAAGGACCCACCGAACGATTTTCCTTTCTATGTATGCTGCTGGACTATTATTTTTGTTTGTTACTATTTATGAGAGTGTGAACTAATAGTAAAAATTGTGTGAAAAATTCCCGCGATAAAGCAATACCTTTCACAACTCTTCCCCGATTTATAACAATGCCACCAAAGCATCGAGTTTCTAAAAAAAAAAAAGGGTCTTTGTAAATTCATATTCTATTCGAAGCTCATTCCTTTTATGATGAAGTAAACTGAAGTGAAAAGGCCTGGCCCTTTTCGTCACACGTCCTCTCACGCGTCCAATTACAGGTAATTACCTTTTCATAATGCTCCCCACCCAAAACCGAAATAAAATCGCGCTGAAAGGATGCTTTCGAAAGCACCGGAGCTGAATTTTTATTATTTATTTTTGGTGAATATGGAAGCATCGCACCGAAGAGAGAGAGAGAGAGAGAGATGGAGAGAGCGAATCATCAAGGATTCAGATCACGAGCTACCATTAACCACACTAGGATAACTTCCAGCCAGTCTTTGCCACTCTCACTTCCCGGAAGAGAGGGCTACCTCATCAAGGCTGTTATCGCCCGTTTGGTTCGTTTCGGAAATATTTCTCGCCAATACTTGCCCCACTGGTTTCTTTCGAGAGAGAGGGAGAGAAATTATTAATCTTTTAATGTGTACTTTCGTAATAGAGTTGTTAAATGAAAAAAGTACTCTTGAAAATTCTGATTGCAATGTTTCCGTCTAAATTATGCCTTTTTTAGGAACTTATATTGCTATTTATTCACAAAAATATTTTTTGTGTGTCAATGTATGCTTTTTTTTGCAAATGTTTTGGTTATAATGTTATTATCGAACAATCTTTCATTGAGAACTAAATGTCTCAGAACAGATTCAATTGTTTTTTAGAAATAAATAAAATAAACTAGTTTGGATAAACCTTTTAAAATGTCTTATATATATGTTTGTTTGTTTGTGTGCGTAAAGCAATTACCACAATAACTATAAATTCTTAGGAAATCTTTCTTCTTGTACGTAGAATATCTTACATTTTTCTATGAAAATTAGATAAGGAAAATAAAGAAGTGCTTTAGATAAAGGCAAATCCCTTTTTTTTTTAATTATTAGACTAACAGATTTGAAGTTTGGCAAGCAGGTTTCCTTTGTTCCGTAGATCCGTTGAAAACGGTTTTGCGGAAGTCAACTCTGAAGGAGATATATGGAACTGTAAAAGATAACTATACTTTCGATATAGTAATTCAAGATTTTCTTTTTGTAATCAAGAAGCGAGAACTACAAGAATATTTTTTAAAACATAATACAAAGTCTTAAAGCTAGACTTAAATATCAATAGCAAGACTAAATAGCATGTAGTCATACAACATCATGAAATAGCCAGTGAAGCGGGCGGGTAGTGGCTGGTTTAATATAAAGGGGGGTTATTAAAATGGTAATTTTGAAAAAGAAATAATTTTACTGTATACTATTTATATTTTTATACTAAATTCACAAGCAACTAATATTAAAAAGGAGGTGTTGTTTTTTCAATAAAATAGAGAAAAATGAAGTCTCATACAAAATTTTCCTTTGAAAAAATTTTGAGGTTTCAGTTTAAGAAGTTCTTTCTCATTTACAATTTTCTACTCTCAATCTTTAGTTATATAACAGCACTTATATATGCACATATATATATATATATATAATTACATTTTAAGATATCCGACTACTTTCGGAACCGTGATTTTCCAAAAGCTTATAAATAAATGGATAATATTTATGATATTTAGTGTCACTTAGATTAGAAAATGTATATAAAATTGTTTTAAGAATAGTATTACAATAAAAAATTATTTAAGTACACTATTTTGACCAAAAATGAACATAGAATGACCCATTTTCAAAATATTCTCCTTTTGTGAACAATGCTTCCATTATAATAATATTTTGCCTGTATGTAGCTCAGACCTCTGTACAGAGGCTCAACTAGAATTTTTGAAATATGTAACTTAGAAATGGGTTTATCTATGTTTCATACGACAACACAGGGGAGAAATTTTAAGAAAAAAAACGCTGATAGTTATTTCAATGGGTTGTAACTCTGAAAATAATGTGAATTTTTCAAACAAAGTAGTTAAGACTCTCTGTAGAAGTCTTTACTTTATGTAAGCATACACACACACACACACAAAATATTATTATTTTAGAAGCATTTTTTATAAAAGGAGAACATTTTGAAAAAAGATTATTCTAAGTCAATTTTTTGCCAAAATATTGTATTTAAATAAATTTTTTTGTCAAAATGTCCTTAAAACAATTTTATACATGTATTCTAATCTAAGTCACACTAAATATCATGAAAATTATCCATTTATGCGCTTTTTGAAAATCACGTTTCCGAACGTAGTCGGATACCTTAACTTTAATTGAAGCAACTTAAAAGATCTGTACAAAAACTGTACAATGGTGTGTACAAACCTGTACTATGTTTCTAGAAATAAGAATGCCGTATTGATTAAACCTTTAGAAACTTCATTGAAATATTAGAAACATTATTACATTTTAGAAACATTAGAAACATTTTTTTTTCAAAAAAATTGAAAATTATAAAATATTATATAACCTTTATCTCCATACTTTGAAAAGAAAAATTTTTAAAAAGTAAATAAAAATCACTTGAAAACTACGATTTTAGAGCAATATATCTACTTATGAGAAATAATTTATTATAAATATAAATTTTATATCAGTCACATTAACAGAAATATAGTGCATTTCAAAATGAAAAGTTGGATTCTCTTTTTGAAGGTATGTGACGGAGTCTGTAGGATTTGGAAATTGCAGGGGTATTTATGTTACCTGTAATTATGAATTTCCTTTCGAACGCAAGCAGTTCAGTAACCTAAACACTGGAGCCACCATCCCTTCCAGCTTGAGAACGTGCCTTACCCAAAATGAATTTTGCTCAGAAACCGTGAAGTAGATCTTGACAGGAAATGTGTATTTCTCGAAGCTACGTGTTTCTTGTAGAGAGCTTCTACGTGACACTTCTTAAATATCTCTAAGATGTAACAAAAGACCTTATAACAAAAAAATTAAAACATAAACAACAATTTAATGCATTTAAAATCTTAAGTCTCCTGAACAGTAGGAAAATGCTCTAATTTCATTCACAACAATCATGACATATTGTATTTGATAATTTGATTAGGTCAACAAAGAAAAATTTTATTTTAGTTACTTTTTATTAAATAGCTACAATTAATATAAATATGTATGTACATATGACAGAATCACAATATTAAGTGACAAAATAGAAATCGATTTTCCTTTTTATATATGATGGTGTTGGACTATTTTTGTTTGTCACTATTTATTCATTAATTAAATTTAATTAGTCTAATAAAATAATATATAGTAAAGAAGAAATCACATTCTCAGAAATTAGGCCATCCCAGGTGGGATTCAAACCCACGATCTTTGAATAAGAATTCCAACGCACTATCCATTGTGCTACAGGGACACAACAACCGATTTTCCTATCTATATATGCAGTTCGACTATTATTTTTGTTTGTTACCATTTATTCATTTTTTAATTTAATTAATGAATTAATATTTGAAAAAAAACTGTATTATTATCAAGTGTTATCCACTACAAGTTTAAAAAATATATTTGACTTGAATGGGTGAATAGAAAGTATTTCATTAACGATTGAAAATTTGAACAAGATATATAGGGAGAGAGTGAACTAATAGTAGGACTTGAAAAAAAATTTGTGCTAAGTAATTTTTTTTTTTGCAAATATTTTTTAAATAGAAACTACATTTTGGAATACATTACAAACTAATTTATTGTTTTAAAATGAGGTGTTATTTTTACATACTAGAAAGTCATTCGACTTTTGTACTAAGAAATAAGAGCAAGCATATTCTGTTAGCTGTTAATTTTGAAACGTATACATAATAATTTTCAGCATAGAGACACCGTTAATTGAGAGAGGAGAGGAAAAAGAAAACTTAAAAAAAAATGCTTATAAAAAAAACTGCCATTGAATGAGATAAAGATGCATTCTTTATATCCTTCTGTAGCTACACTAAATGAAAAATAACTTTAAATGTCAGTTTTTCCTCAAAACAATAGGGTTTATAATTCCACTTAAATTGAGAAAGCTGAAAAATATTAAAGTCTTGAGTTTTATTTTTAGAGAAGGACCTAAAATTACTACTTTATCTTGTTTTAAAGCATTAGTTGTACACACGTAGTTAATACCTGAAGAGTGGATATTATGGACATCAGAATCTCAATTTAAAGTCCCGTATAATCCGGCATATAACGTGCACCAGTGTATCACGCGCACTTATATTTTCAAGCTTTATTTTTTTATTTTAAGGTATATTCACCGTATAACGAGCACAACCTTCTTTACAAAGAAATCTGAAATGTTAGTATAAAATATTCCTTTGTTTTGAAGTCATTTATTCCAGGTATTATCCCCCAGACTCTTGAAAAAAAAATAATATACTTCTAAAACAACAACTCTTTTAGTTCATTAGGCATTTCATTTCTTTTAAATAAGCTGTATTTCGACATTGTAGAAGTAATTTCTTTTTTATGCTTATCTCTTTTGTTTTTAAAACCATCGTTTTTATACCCGGACTTATAACGCACACCCTTAAATTTCGATCTTATTTTTTGAGTTAAAAGTGCGCGTTATACGCTGGATTTTACGGTATTTTTAAATTTATTTTTTACTGATTTCCTTTATTCAATGGGTTTTTTCTTACAAACGATTATAGATGTATTAAATAATGATTTACAGAATTTTTTTTAAAAAATGCTGATTAAAGAAATGTTATTTTGAAATTTATTTCAAATTTCAAATCGGAACCCTTTTATCTTTAAAATGCCGGATTAAATATTTTAATCTTATAAATCATCAATTCAAAAAAAAAAAAAACAGCTTTAAAGAGTGTTACATAAATCTCGTCTTATCTGGTAATTCTTAAACTAAATCTTTATGAGAAGGAGAAGAGAAAACAATTAAATTACTTACTTTTTATAAAAGAATATAAATATTTTAATGAATTAAAGAATTCAAGTTTTGTGTACAAGTATCGAAAATTTTTGCACTGTAACGACTTTTTACAACGTAAAATTTTAACATTTGTTGCGTTGCTTACAGTCTTAATAATATAAGGCAACTTTTTCTATTTGTCAACAATAATACGATTCTATGATGCAGTTATTTTTTAAAAAGCAATCTCAGTTTAAACCTTACTCAATAAAAAGTCTCGTTTGTCATTGACACATCTAAATTGTGTGGGAAGTAATTTAAAATGGAATGTGAATGTAGGCTGAGTACCTTGAATGACATATTTCACCCCATTTTTCTTTAAGGAATTAACATTCCTACGACGTATTCCTTACAGATTGTTTCTAACTTTTTTTGTTTTTCCTCCTGAAAAATTTCCTTACTTGGTTTTCCTTCCTCGGTTAAATCGGTGTGTATTTAGGATCGCTCATTAATCTTTGAGCTTAAAACTTCCTCTTTTTTTAAACGTCGTTTATATTAAAATGTTTCCTTACAATCATAGAAAATATTTGGAATTCCATTTTTAATAATTACAGGACGTTTAGATTTGAATAATAGGAATTTTTTTTTTAAATTTTATTAATAGTTTGAGAAAAATAGCGAATTATTTCAATGAGCAAAAGTCTTTCTTTTACTAATTGCCAACACTTATTATTTACATGAGTGCATTTAATGAGCATCAGATATAACAGTTATTTTAAGGTCATAGCTCATTATCTGTGACATTAGTGAGTTTAATATTGCTGAATAATTCTCTTGCTCCACCCTTTGATCAGATGGTGGCGAGATTATAACTGTTAATGTACACTTTAATTAATAATAAGCTTGCAGATGTATTTGTTGTTGCAAGAATTTACATCCGCGTTGTCAAAGTCATTTCTATAACACCTTTTAAAATGAGTACAGGTATCTTTTCTTCTTTCTTTTTACCTTTTAAGCTTTTAATTAAATGTTATTTTATTTAAAATAAATTATAACGCTTCGTTTCTGATACATTATTTTATTAAGTACAAAGTATATATATTCAAGAATATAGGTCGCA